ATCAATCAATTCTTTTTGGTACAGTGGCTGTGTGTTCCCTATATCTTCTTTGAGATCCCCTCATCCATTCAAAATGTTCCCCATAGAATAATTCAGTATAGAAACTCATGGTTTGAAGTTCTTCTTCAGTTCTTTCAGCTAGCTAGAGAAATTCCAAGCATGTTCTTCCATTTCGGGTTTCTAGCTCCAAGTCTTGGTACACTTGATTTGATGCTCTAACAAATCACAGGCATCTGGTGAAATAACCATTTATTAAATAATAGTGTTTTGTCTCTTAAGCTGAATAGTGAGCACACATGATTCATCTGGATATGTTTCCCTATATTTCATATCCTGTTTGTTTGTTTTTTTAAAGAGGGCAATTTCTGGGGGTTCAGTGGTCTTGTGATAACAAAGAACATAGTCCTCTCATTCCCTTTCCCTCCCTCTGCCCAATGTAACAACAATACTTAGTCCTGGCTTCAGTGAGTCTTTTTGATTAAAAGAAAAACTGTGTGTGAAAGTAGGGAAATAGGAAGAAAATAAGGAATGTGGGGAGGGATCTGATGTTCAACCAGGAATTTTCTGGAAACCAAAAGATCCGTCATCACAGTTTGCGCTCTAGGTTTGAAGTAGTGGGTTTATCTGTTTTAACTTTTTGGGGTGCAAATTCGGCTTTAAAGACTTATTAGGCATCCCCAAAAAATCTCTGATCAGCATGGACTCTTTGTTTTCATAGTATTTATTATTCTATCTACTGTGTATTCCTCTTATATTTGAAAGTAATAAAAAAATGTTTGAAAAGAAATTATGTATAATTGCTTAAAGGAAGCACTTAGTATATTCACATATTTGGGGAATTGTGCCCCTAAAAAGATCTATTGAAGCTTTAAGACCTGGTTCCTGTGAAGGTGACCATTTTTGTAAGTAAGATCTTGGAAAATGTTATCATTGAAGAAGGACTGGGTCCTAACACCTCACCCGAGAGGTGTCCTTACAGAGAAGACAAGGGATCTAGACAGACCGTACAGATACTTTTTTATATCAGTGTTAGAATTAATCCTGCATGATTACCAAGCAATTCCCCAAATATCCTATCTACTTTGCCCAAGCATCTTACCCAAACCAATTCCAAATCCACGGCTATCTAGCAGCTCGACTTACAGCTGCCGCCCTCTAGGAAAGAATAGAACTGCTCCATTGGGTTTCTAAAGCCTGCACTTTCTCCCACTTACTGCTGGTGCGCTGGATCTGCCACTTCTCTATTAGCAGACAGGCACTTTAATCACTACACCAGCAGGACCCCGGAACTCCTTTTAGCAGCACGCTTATATCCAGATTGAAACAAGCAAGTTGGCCAGCTGCCTCAACGTATGACCAGGGCCTTGCTGTTGGCTAATGCTCTGCTCTTTCTCTTTGGCATTTTTAAACAGTACACCCCATTGTTTGTTTGTACCGGACCACATATACCATGAGGAGCTGGGGGATAAGCACAGGGTTGCTACCTACAAGGGTGGCAGTTCAAACACACCAGCCACTCCACAGGAGAATGATGAGGCTTTCTGCCCCTGTAAAGATTTACAGAGTCACTGGGAATCGGAATCAACTTGATGGCAGTGGGTTTAGTTTTTGTCAATATTCAGGAACCTTGGTGGCACAGTGGTTAAATAGCTATGTATTCTTGTATAAAAACATTGTCATTCACTTAAGGAAGCAAAATTGGGTACACTTCATTATTATTAAAACATTTTTATTCTTTCCTTTGTATACAGTTCCCCCTGCTCACACATATAATTGCAGAAGGAAAGTCTGACAGGATATGCACAAAATTGTTAGCATTAGTATCTCAGCACACTTGAATTTCATGTGATTCTTCCCCTTTTTCTTATTTTCTAATTTTTTTCTAATACTCATGTTTGCATACTTTTTAAGAGGCATTGGGGAAACAGACTAACCTGTATTGTGTTGCTAAATCTCAAAGAGGTTCTAAAGGTCTTGAAAATCCTCATATTTCTTTACAAACACAGAAAAGTCCTAATTTAACCAAACCCATAACAAATAAGTTCTTTTAATTAATTTAATTTTCACATAAGGCTTAATCTGTAGACTCCTTTTTTTATAGCCACTTTACAATCTTATTGTAACTTCAGGGTTTTTGTGTGTGTGCAGTTTTTCACTTCTGATATACAAAGGAGTAAATAAAAATAACCAAACTTAAATTAATTTGCATATGAAGGGCACATTACCTGACCAGGTAGTTAGATTTGTTTGAAAGGATCTTACACATTATTAACAGATCAATAGCCATTTATTGGGCCTTACTCTATGGCAGGGCCCTGGTGACGCTGATGGGGAAATGTTGGACTGCTAACTGCAAGGTCAGTGGTTCAAACCCACCAATGACTCTGGCAAGAGGAGGAGATTGTCAGCTCTCATAAAGATTTCTGACTTCAGAAACCTATAAAGGGTCTATCTGAGTGGGAATTGACTGGATGGTATCGGGTTGAGTTTTCAGGTTTTTATATGCCAGACCATGCATTGGATTCTGGGAAGAACAGAGTGGTGACCAAGACAAATTCCAGCCTTCATAGAGCTTACTCGTGTCTTCACTATGCAATGTGTTTCCTACATAATTTCATCAATAACTAGTTGTTTTCCTCCAAAAGATTTTGTTAATAAAGAATTCCTCATGTTACTTTATAGTGCTACTTGTTAGCTAATTATTATATTAGTATGTTTTTATTTTAAGAAATAGGCGATGGTATTAATTGGTAGAGTGTTATCTTTGTATTGACATCACAGTCCTCTCTTTGACTTATAAATATTGATCTTTGTTCTGCCCTTAAGAGCTTTAAAATAAATCAACCACTACCATTCTTTCCCTACTCCCCCCAGCCATCTTTGAGAGAGAGCTTTTGGCATGCAGCTTTTCAAATGCATTGAGAAAACGATTATGTGACTGTAAGTCTTCCCCAAGATAGAACACTGCGATCCTTTCATCATTTCCTCTGTGACATGGATTTTAAATCATACACCATCCTGATTGCTTTTCTTAGGACGCTTTCTACTTTGTCACCCTTTGTTGTTAAAAATAAATTACTCCCAATTTCCTGCTTCCAGTAGAGTAGAGTGAACATAATTGACTGTTTGATGTGAGGGTCTGATATGGTCTGAAAGCAATTACACTGACCTTGAATACTTATCCTACTAGACTGCAAATATAATATGGGGCCCTGGTGGCACAATGGTTAAGCACTCCATTACTCACTGACAGGTCAAGGGTTCAAACTCACAGTTATTCCATGGGAGAAAAATGTGGCAGTCTTCTTTCGTAAATAGTAGTAGCACCTTGGTAACTGCTAGGGCAATTCTACTTTGTTCTATAGGTCTCTATGGTTCAATAGCAATAGATAGGGTAAGTATGTATCCTTATCAATGTATTGAGCTTCTACTAAATCTTTACCAAACTTTGGGTATCTCTTGGAAGATTTTTAAAAAATATAGTATTATTTTCTTATTTCTCTTTGCAGTGAAGGGTATTTATAAGGGTAACAAACTTCAAAAACATGTAAAAAACATGACTGTGAAAGTCATTACTCATATAATCTTTCTTCTCTACTGGACTAAAACTCCATGGGGAACAAGGTTTCTGTCATTCCTTTTTAAGGACTCCTACAAAAGCCCTAGATATGTACAAGCCACCCAATAAATGTTTATTGACCAATTTGTACCTGCGTTCAAGGTACAAATTTTGTAAAATGAAGTGAATTCCAAGTTTTATAATATATTGAAGAATAAATAATATACAATTGAGCTCACGTTTTATCCTAATCTGAAAAGAGAAGCTTAGCATATTAGTTTGCAGCACACACACACACACACACACACACACACACACACAAACAAGTATTATGTGGGAGTATTTTTGAGTCTATGTGACAGAGAAACCAATTAGTAGTGGCTAACTATAAGAAATGCATTATGAAGCCTGAAGAAAGTGGTCCTAGGCTTACTCTATCAGCTCGATAATATCATCAAGAAGTGGTCCTAGGGTTAGTCTATGAGCTCTCTAATCCTACTAATGCTGTTCTCAGATTGCTTAGTCCTTTATTTTGGGCCTATTGTGTTATGTTCAAAAGATGTCTGCCTCATTCCAAATAAAGAAGTGCATCCAGAAAGAGGAACCTGTGGATGGTCAAGGATCTGAAAATGCCTCCCTGTAGGCCTCTCTTCTGGTGAAATTTATTTTCCCAAAAGTCTCCCAACAAATTTTCTCATATCTAACTTGCAATATGACTTCACGTGGCTTGTTCGAGGAGGAAGGCAAAGGAGTGGAGTTTGGGGAATTCCTGTTGATTATACAACAGTTTATTCTACAACTAGTAACAGATGTTAAGAGAGAAAGATCATGCCAAGGGAAGAATGTTATTGCTTGAGCAATAAATAAAGGGGGCCCCAGTTGTAAGTACCCATCAAAAAAGATTGCTAATAATATTGAGATTACTTATTCAGACAGATGAATCATCAGCTCATAGTTATTTTGGGAAGAAGAGATGCTGTTAGTTGTTATCGACTTGGTTCCAACTCTTAATGACCTTATGTATAACAGAGCCAAGTATTGCCTGGCCTGTGCCATCTTCTTCATCATATGCTATGTTTGAGTGCATAGTTGCAGCTGCTGTGCTAATCCACTTCATTGAGAATGTCCCTTCTGTGTTGACCCTCTCCTGTACGAAGTGGATTGGTGTCCTGATGAAATGTCCAAAGTGAGATGGATTCTCACCAGCCTCCCTTAGGAAGAGGCTTCTGGATGTACTTCCTTCAGAACTCATTTGTTCCTTCTTCCAGAAGTCCATCGGGATATAGTCAATAAACACTAGAACCATGACATAGATATAACTGGTATGTCTCTTCTTCCTCTAAGGAAGAGATATGCCTGATTATTTTGTCTAGTTGTTGTCAATAAAAAAAGCTCTTTATTACAAAGCTGGGGTTCCCCCCCCTCCTTTTTTTGTCTTCAGGAGTCTTACGCAAAGAAGAGGAGTCACACTATGGAAATTGTACCGTCGGCTTCTCTGGAGACATTGCCTTTTGACAATGAGAACTTCCTATGTGATCTCACGGACATGGCAGTTACGAAGAAACCTTGCTCCTTAGAAATTGCGAGGGCACCTTCCTCAAGAACTGGTAAGAAAAAAAAAAAAAAAAAGAACTGGTAAGATTTTATATGTAATTGGCCAATTCCAATTACATGCATGTATATCTGAAGATGTAGCATTAATATATTAATGTTCTCACTGCATTGTCAAAATGAAAATGCCCCAATGCAGTCACAATAATAATTTGTTTCTGTTTGAAGTGAGTCCAGATAATTTAGAGGGAATTTGATTTTAACTTCCAGCCAAGAACCTCGTTGCGTGGTACTGTCTTGGGGAAGGCATTTTGAGGCCTTGTGAATAAAATTAGGACACACACACACAAATCTTTGTCCTTCAAGATTTCATAGGAGATTTACTAGCAAGCATCACTTTATGCGCATTTCTACATCCTGTGTCCAAGTAATTCAGTTGTTGTTGCTAGGGGCCCTGGAGTCTGTTCTGACCCCGCACCCCTGTGCACAACAGAACAACGCCACTCTCATGACCGTCCTTACACTAGAGATCGTTGTAGCACGTGCTGAGCCAATCCATCCTGTGAGTTCCTCCTGTTTCTTGCTGCCCCACTACTTTACCAACCAAGATCTCTTTTTCCAGGGGCTGGTCTCTCCCGATAATATGTTCGAAGTATGTGAGACTAAGTCTCTCCAACCCTGCTAATAATAAATTAAGTACACTTAACTAATGTGTATAATTTTTGTTTTGTTTTGTGGCATTTTCAAAAAGCATTCTTCATTTGCACTACTAAGTAATTAACTAGGCAAGGAAATTGTGAACTCTATTTTGCAAATAAGTAATTAAATAACATCTTATTTGATCAACAAATGACAGTACCCGTGATTGAATGTGGTTTTTGAAGTACCATCAAATTTACTTCTGATTATTTCACTGCTAGCTCTAAAGAAGACCAGGCTGCCACAGGAGAGGTAACAAGGGAGGAAGGTTTAAATGAGAGGTCAACTGATGCTGTGAAAGTCAGACATATTCCAAGGAGAGATCTTGTTTTGGGGTTTGGCAATCCAATTACTTGTTACTTTGGAGAAGTCAGTCTTAGAATAGCTTTGGTTAAATGAGTTTTGTGGAAGCTAATAATGAGATGATGGAACATGAGAACGCAGGAAATCGGTTCCAGAATACAGATGATCTTTTCAAGAAGAGGGGAAGAAGACATAAGAAAGCAAGTACAAAAGAAACAGATGGTTTATTTTATGACAGGTAAGCTGGGTCAGGTTTAGAGGGTAGGGGAGATTTTGTGGTGCAGAGTAAGATAATAATCAATGAGCAGAGAAAACAAAATAGGTATAACTGAAGTCTGAGTTAACTTAAGAAAACCCAGACAGTGTTTCTTCAGAAAGAGGAACAAAGGAGAATATTGCAATAAGATAGAAGAATTCTGAAGTACGTCTTTTCCAATGAATTTAATTTATTGGTAAGATAAAAGCTTGTTGGCTGAATAGAAGAGCTGTACTTTGAGAAAGCTTAAAATAAAATGCAGAAAAGCCATTATAAATAAGACGCTAAGGAATTTTATAAATATGAACATTTTTTATTTTACTCTTTTACAGTTTTATTGATATTTAATTCACATACTATACAATTCAATGGTTTGAATATATTTAAAAGAGTTATATGATTATCAACACAGTCAATTTTAGAACATTTTCTTCACTTTTGCACTCACTGTTATTAGCTCCCTGTTATCCCCCAACCTCCTCTGCCCTAAACTGTTATTCTAATTATTTTCTCTATGGATTTATCTATCTTGGGTTTCACATAACGAAAATCATACAATTCTTCCCCTCCAACAATAATAACAAAATAAAACACATGAAAACTTCAACCCCAAAGGAAAGCAACAAATAAGAAAAACTAGACCAAATTAAGAATCAGTCAACAGGGAAAACATGATAAAATGTTAAAATTTAACATATGCTGGTGTGTTGTTTTTAGGCACCATTTGGTTGGGTCCAACTCGTAGCTCCCCTCCGTGCACTAGGATCAAACGCTGCTCACAATTGTTCTTATGTTTGAGGCCAGTGTTGCAGCCACTGTGTCAATCCATCGGGCCGAGGTCCTTCCTCTTTTTTGATGCCCCTCTACTTTAGCAAAAATAACGTCCTTCTCCAGGGGCTGGTCTCTCCTGACAACATGTCAAAGTATGTGAGATGAAGTCTCACCATCCTTGCTTCTAAGGAGCATTCTGGCTGCACGGCTTCTAAGACAGATTTGTTTGTTCTTTTGCCAGTTTATGGTGTTTTCAGTATTCTTCACCAGCACTGTAATTCAAATGCATCCATTCTTCTTTGATTTTTCTCATTCATTGTCCAACTTTCACATGCATATGAGGTGTGGCAAAAAACAAACCCTGGCTTAGGTCAGGTGCACCTTAATCCCCAAAGCAGCATCTTTGCTTTTGAACACTTCACAGTGGTCTTGGGCAGCATATTTACCCAACGCAATGTGCCATCTGATCTCTTAATGGCTGCTTCCATAAGCATTATTGGAACCCAAGCAGGAATGGAATCCTTCTCAACTCTGATCTTTTCCCCATTTATCATGATGATCCACTTGTGATGATTTTCGTTTTCTTTTCTTTGAGCCATAATCCATATTAAAGGCTGCAATCCTTGATCTTCATCAGCAAATGCTTCAAATCCTCCTCATTCTCAGAAAGCAAGGATGTGTCATTAGCATATCCCAGGTTGTTAATAAGCCTTCCTCCAAACCTGATGCCACATTCTTCTTCATATCATTCAGCTTCTTTGATTATTTGCTCCATACTCATATTGAATAAGTATGGTGAGAGGTTGCAACCCTGACACACACCTTTCCTCACTTTAAACCATGCAGTAGTCCCTCCCTCTGGTCACACAACTCGCTCTTGATCCTGCACAGGTTCTGCATGAGCCTAATGAAGTGTTTTGGAATATCCACTCTTCTCAAGAATATCCATAGTTTGCTATGATCCAGTCACTCTTTGCCTTTGCAATAAATATGACTGGAAGAGGTGATGGAATAAATATCTTGGAAGAGATGATGGAAAAGCTCAATATCAACAGCTAAAGCCAGGCCGGGATTCTACTATGGAACAAAATCAATTGTAAGTTCAGATCAAAGCTGAAGAAAAAATGTAAAAATCTAGGAGAGCCAAAATACAATCTCGATTATATCTCATCTGAATTTCAAGGATATCTGCTGAACAGATTTGATGCATTTAACACCAATAACATAAGTCCTGATTAGCTGTGGGAGGACATCAAGGACAGCATGCACAAAGAAAGCAAAAGTTCATAAAAAACAAAAAAACCTAAATGATAAAAAATCAAAATGGATGTCAGAAGACTGAAATTTGTTCCTAATCATAGAGTAGCTAAAGCAAATGAAAGAATTGATGAAGTCAATGAGATCAACAGAAACCTTCAAAGGATGACTCAGGAAGACAAAGTCAAATATGATCATGAAATGTGCAAAGGCCTAGAGTTAAAAAATCAAAAAAGGAAGAACATGCTCCATCTATCTTAAACTGAAGGAAATGAAGAAAAATACAAGCCTCTCGTTGAACTATTGAAAGAGTCTATGGATAAGAGATGGAACAATGGCGGAAGCATCAAAGATGGAAAGAATACAGAATCCCGGCATAAAAAATAGCTAGTTGAAATTCAACCATTTTTAAGAAGCAGCATATGGGCAAGAACCAGTGGTACTGAAGGAAGTAGTTCAAGCTGCCATGAAAACATTAACCCAAAACAAAACTCCAGGTAGTGATGGAATTAAAACTGAAATGTTTCATAAGCCGATGGAGCCTAGAAGCCCTCACTCATCTATCCCAAGAAATTTGGAAGATGACTGCTTGGCCAACTGACTGGAAGAGACCCCTATTTGTACCCATTCCAAAGAAAGGTGACCCAACACTATGCAGAAATAGTAGAACAACATGATGAATATCACATACTAATAATTTTTGCTAAAGATCCTCCTGCAATGGTTGTAGCCATACATTGATAAGGAGCTACCAAGTGTTCAGACCAGATTCAAAAAATGACATGGAACAAGGGATATCATTGTTGATACGAGATGGACACTGGCTGAAATCAGAGAATTCCATAAAGATATTTAATTGTATTTTTAATAATCTAAGCTGCATCAATTCACTTTCTGTGGTGCTTTGTTGCAGGACCAGCCTGTTTACATCCCCAAACATGCATTTTAGTCGCATTAAAGGTAGGTTGTTATGTGAATCATAAACATCAGAAGGAAGACTTTTTGCATGAAACAAGAACATGCCAATGAAAATTGTGAGAACGTTTACTTCACATAATTATTATGATTCCTGTTGTTTTATTCTTCTTCTTCACATTTTGCTAAAGAGAAAATGGAAGAATTGAAACATTCACTTCCCATAATAATGAAAGATCAATCCAGGACTTTGAGTCAGTACCTCAACTTGTGCTCTTCTACGTCGTCAGAGTGCTACATTCATCGGCTTAGGGTGCGAGGTGGTGAGGTCAGAGCCTAACACAGAAATCATCGAGATATATGAAAGTATGCTGGAGAACCAACATCAGAAAAGGAATGCTAAAAATTAGAATACAAACTTCAGATGAGCAGACGATATTGGGGAAAGGCAAATAATGCCGAGGGAGGCAGAATCAGTCATGGATAATGAAGAGAATGCAAATCTAAACCTGTGGTATTTGATAAGAATGAAAAAAATTCCACAGAAGAGATAATGAGGGAAATAGTGTATTCAGGAGGACAATTCAGTTAAAGTAGGACACTTGATGGAATCTGTATGGAAAAGGAAAAGAGCTTTTACTAGGGCACAGGGGCCAAATGTATGTCTGGAGTGGAGGAGATAAGAACTGAACTAGGCAGGAATGACAGAGCAGAAGAAAACAATATTTATTCACTGGGAAATCAAGCGCTAATGAAGTTCCTACATATGCCAGTCACTGTTGTGAATACTTAAAGTACAGGGATGAAACAAATCTTGGACCTACTTAACAAGACCCAGATCAAACATCCTGCTAA